ATCTTATCTTATCTTATCTAACAACATAAATCCATCTTGGTATACTCAGATATAGCAAGAACATTCCCTCCAAACTGAGTCTCTATCATGTTTTTGAGATCTTTGGTTAAGACACAATATGAGGCTAGTCAAGTCAGATCAGATGCACACACCATTGAACCAGTTCGATCTTCTTTTCCTCTATTTTCTCAGTTCTTGCCATATTTTACCTGCCCTTAACAAAGCCCACACACTCTAGAGTAGAAAGTTTTAATACATTAATACCATTTTTCAGTGTATTCCCTGTCCGTCATCCTTAACAACTTGCTCTCCACATGCATACGCTCTCTCTACATCCTAGATACATCATGTTGTTCAGTATTTCCAAACGCATGCTTGTGATGCATCAGAGCATGACGATGTCAGGGAGAAAAATAATGAAAGCAGCTTAGCCTGCTACGACCTGTAGTGTTTTAGTGTAGTATTTTTCTGTCTCCCTTCAAGTCTGTAAATCAGAAAGACAGATATTTCCTTCTCTGCAGATTTAAACTCATGTCAGTAAATTCTTGGTAGCGTCTGCAGGAGCAGGACAGAACCAAGAAATGATCAACTTCAGTGGAAAGCTGTTGTAGACACAATACACACTCACTGTGTGTCTATCACAAAGCATACCTACACACTAACACATACTTTACACACATCTAAACTATAAATCACACAGATGATGAAACTAATAGCTTAGCTGCCACCCTCCATCCAAACTATCTGTCAGTCAAGATAAGATCTCTGAGCCGTAGCTAATACACATTGACATAATGGCATGGGAGTGAATGACTGGCTGCCATCCAGGTCAGTGTGGACCTGCTTCAACCTGAAAACAGCGTGAAGTTAATGCCAAAGGCCAAAGTCAGTCAGTGTAAATGTGAGAGAACAGATGAGAGGAGAAGATTGAGACTTCTTAGCTAAGCTAGCAGCGTGGATGTATTGCTCTGTCAGTCCATCAGTCGGTCCAATGCTTTGGTCCAGACTGAAATTTCTCAACTACATGAACAAGCAAGACAGACAAACACAGAATCTCCAAACTTAACTGACTTCACTAAATGACCATTGTCACTGTATAAATCAATAGTTTTTAGCAATGGAGCTCCACTGGTCATTAAGAGCCATGCTTGACCCATTGTTCCAACGGCCCATTATACAGAAACCACCACAGTTTTAAAAAACTGACCCTTCTCATATCCCAACTATCTACTTCGGAATAACTGGTTGACAGAAAAATTGGTTTTTTTTCCAGAATTTCTTTGGACTATTGTGATTTTGGAATAATGGACTGTCTAAACAAAGGCATTGGCACCATTCCACAGTACATTACTTCCCTGATAAAAGCTTACTAGACTGTGAAAGCCACAAAAACAATCATGATGTGATAACTCTGCTGCTAATAGTTGTCTGTGAGTCGTCCGTAGCAGACAACAATGACGCCTCGCCTGGTCACATATGAGCTCATATTACAGTTAAACGGCACGCTAAAATATGTTTCTGAAACGTTTTTAGCTGTGAAATTATTATTTGATCAGCACAGCCTAGTTTGAGAGTTTTGTGCTGGAGGGACTAACTGAAAATGACTTGTCAATCACAAGGTAGCCACGCCCAAAAGCATACCCTGCTTTATGGTCTGTTTCACTTTAAATTGGACCATTATTTACAAAATGAGCATCATGCTGTATGAAAAAAGACATGAAACTAGTGACTGAGACCATAAACTCATTAGGAAACTGTTTACTGAGCTCATAAATCAACTGACAAGTTGGCTCATTTCTCCATAAGACTGCATGCTATTGTTTTTTATTGCAGCCAATGGAGCGCCCCCTGCTGGCCTTTGAATGCCAGTAAACTACATAGAATGCAGGTTTTAGGACATTTCCACGTTGGCTTCACTTCACAGACCTGAAAGCTCTGTCCA